TTTGGATAATTTTAAGAAATATATACATAAATAGCACCCAATTCTTATTTATTTATTTGTCTAACATCTAAATTTTAATTATTACTAAGTGTAAAACTGGATTATGTCCTGGTGGGCAATTACTTACTCTGAATTTTGACCCTTTTCTCTATAAATAATAAAAAAAATTTGTCCCGTTGATATATATATATATCTGAAATAATTAAATAAATATTTGGTGAGTTTGCCCACTATAAAAAATAAAGCTAGTTCAGCCCCTGAATTTTACATATGTGACGCATTAGCTATGTATGAAAATGTGTGTTTAACTATTTAAAAATTTAAAAAGTTATATATATTTTTTTATATATTAGTGTTGGATTCTAATATGTCCATGAATCCACCCCAATAAATAGAGCATGAAACAGAAGAATGATAAAGAGAGAGATAGGGAGGATTGAACAAAAAGAAACAGTAATACGCCGTGTTCATCTTCTATATTTCATAAAGTAATCCATTTATTTATATGGGAGATGATATAATGTAGTGATAGTATAAGTATTTATATATGTGAGTCTATCACTAAATTGCTCTATGGCTCGATTGACTGAGCTTGTTTGCCTTGGGCTTGGTAAGGTCGGTCAGCTGAGCTCGTTTAGCTTTTGGTCGATAAGACTGATCCTCAGACAATTACTGTGAACGCATATCTTGCATAGCTGCTGATACCCCTTGAACATATAATGAGAAGTTATTGTGAGAACGGACAACTGATCATCGTTGTCATCATTTTTATGCTCACCGCTAGGAAACATATGAAATTGTTGTCTATCTGAGCATGCTCATACAAACCTATTTTTCAAAATTTATGATTAGAAAAGCATATTTTTCAATCACACACACACTCAGTAGTGAGACAATGTAATAGATAGTGTCAGACAATTACTGGGAAAATATATCATGCATAGCTACTGATACCTCTTGGGCATATAATGATAAATTATTATCATAAAGTGCAACATATCATCTTTGCCATCATTTTTATGCTCACTGATAGGAAACATACGAAGTTGTGGTCTGTTTGAGCATGCTTATCCAAACCCATTTTCAAAATTTATGATTAGAAAAGCATAATTTTCAATCACATACATACTCCATATTGAGACAGTGAAATAGATAACCTCAGACAGTTATTGTGAAACCATATAATGCATAGTTGTTGATACCTCTTGGGCTTATAATGAGAAATTATTGTGAGAAAGGGCAATAAATCATCTTTGTCATCATTTTTATGCTCACTGCTAGGAAACACATGAAATTGTGGTCTGTTTGAGCATGCTCATTCAAACATATTTTTCAAAATTTATAATTAGAAAAACATATTTTTCAATCACACACACACTCCGTAGTGAGACAGTGAGATAAATAGTCTTAGAAAGTTACTGTGAAAGCATATTATGCATAGCTTCTAATACCTCTCGGAGCATATAATGAGAAAATATTTTGACTTAGGACAACAAACCTTCTTTTTTATGAGAAGAAAAGCATATTTCTCAATAACACACACTCTGAAGTCAGACGGTGAAGTAGATAGTCTCATAAAGCTACGGTGACATGATATTGTGCATAGCTACTGATACCCCTTGGGGCATATATACTGTCAGAAATGACAACAGAGCATCTTTGTCATCATTTTATTGCTCATTTCTAGGAAACATATGGATAATATCATACATTGTTACTGTAATTCATTACTAATACCGCTTGGGGCATTGTATGAATTAATATTGTAAGAAGGGTCTACATACCATCTTTATCAGCATCTCTGTACTCGCAACTTTTATCTGTGCTATCATAGTAATAAAATGGCTAAGAACAAGGAGGCTGGTCTGCTTGCACTGTGGGACAAAGAAACTGAAATAGTCTTCTGTGACATTTGCCTCATTGAAATTGATATGGACAATAGACCCACTACATATTTCAACAAAGAAGAGTGGCATAATATTATAACAAGATTTAAGGAGAATATGACAGGATGCAATTTAAGAACAAATGAGATCAGCTCAAGAAGTATTGAAAAATTTGGAAGAAATTGAAACGAGGATTAACGGATGAGGCGAACCATTGATGCGTCGGAGGAGTGGTGAACAGAAAGACTCGCAGTAAGAATTTTTTCATTACATATAATTCGGTTAATTTCATTTTATTTACTAACTGAAGTGCGTGTTATGATTTTGTAGGTGGTGTCCACTACGAAAAAAATTATACTTTGTGAACTTGAGTCTGAGTTGGACGAGAAGTTGGACCAGATTCTTGAAGGTGTCATTTTTACAGGCAAATATGCATGCTCGCCCAATGAGATAGGGTTTTGTGGCACCCCAAAGAAATTGTCAGTCGAGCTATCAGCTGATTCAACTGAAGTACCCAACCTAGACCTCCATGAAATTGAGTCTACCCGTCGTTCTAAGTGTCCATGGGTAGACAGTAAAAAAGGAAGGTGGAGCTGCTTTTGTCAGAAAACAGATATCACAACTGGTAGTTTCTTCCTACGTTGAACCACATATAGTACATGAATATTTCATTGAACAGGTCGTGCAAATGTTGAATGCAAATAGAGAAATTTTTGAGTATTTGCCTCCATACTTATTTGTGATAGAGTTGCTTGAAAATCCCACCAGCAAAGATCTTTTCATCAAGATTCCCCAAAAAAAGAAAGCGGCGTATCTATAGCATTTGTATGATTAGAAGGACATTTGAACACTTTTTCTATTTTTTATTCCTTGGGACACATTTATTTTTGCATTTTATTATGTAATGATTTGGTTCTTTGAATTGTTTTGTATTTTACTGGATAATATTAATGAATCCTCGTTATTCATAATCCTCATTATTCAGATTTCACAACTAATTGAGACATTGCTCGTTCATAATTTGTTAATTATTTTGTGTTAGCTAATACGATATACTCCTAAATGGATATAACCATAGAATGATAAAGAAGGAGAGTTGCAGCAATGTATTTGATCCACTAATATTACAACACGTACATTAATCACTCTTCATGTTTGACATCATCATATATAGGGGTGTAAACCAACCGAACACGAACGAACAGAGCTTGTATTCGTGTTCAGTTCGTTTGAAATTTAGTTTGTTTGAAATAAGCTCGTGTTCGAAATTGTTTTTGAAGTCATTGTTTGTGTTCGTTTCTTAACGAACGAGCCGAACATAAGTTGTTCGCGAACGACGAGTAAGTTTGACATCCTCAATATTAATATATATAAATGATATATTGTATTAATTATATAATTTATATTATATATATATATATTCAATGTTTATATTAGTATACTATTAAAATAGTACTAGTATATTAATATATTATTAGTATTAATTTGTTATATATTATAATTTATAAAATTTAATTTTTTAAAATATCATAATATTTTTATATATAATTATTTTTTATTTCGAACAATAACGATTCAAACACGAACGAACGCATCACTGCTCGTGTTTGATTCATTTAACTAATCGAATGAAAAAAAATTGTTCACGTTCGTCTCGTTTACTTATCGAACAAATCGAATACAAACTCATTGCAAACTCATTGACGAACCGAACGAACTATTCTCGAACAACAAACTTTTTTGACAGCCCTAGTCATATATTGACGACAAATGAGTTGGGGAATTAATTGTTGGACACCCAACGAGATTCGACAAGATATTTCGCATGAGACAAAACATATTTAATGATCTGTTGGCAGAGCTTAACAGATTTCACTGACTTCATGGGTCATCGAGGACGACACCACGAGAGGTATTGGCCATAACCATCTACATATTTTCACAAGTCAATGAGAGGAACAATGAGACAATTTTAACAATCCTCAAAGACGATTAGTAAATAATTCTCGGTGGATCTGAATGCACTTGCAAACCTTTCTACACAAGTCATTAAGCCAACGAATCCAATGTTCAAATGGAATCCAATGTTCATTCTTTAAGATAACATTTATAATTCATTGCAGCAGTTTTAAATATAGGAGCCGTACATTAAAAACTCATTCTTATTTGAGTAGGATTGCATCATAGCAATTGATGAAACTCATGTTGATGCACGCATTCCAAACAATGAGAAGTTCACATTCATCAAGCGTTCCCTGTTACGAGTTGAGAATAATCATTCCATTATCTTTACTAGAGAGGTGGAGAATATAAGCGAAACGGTGGAGCTAAGGAAAAAAATTACTGATGCGTTAGTAGGATGCTGATTAGATTCTTTGTAATTTATTTAGTATTATATGTAATCCATTTCCTTTGTAAAAAAAATTTTAATATTCATGTTGAATAGTGAGCTTTCAGCTTACATTTCTTTTATTCAAAGGTTTAAAATTTTTACGCCATTTGTAGATTTAAATTTTTATTTACTTCTTTTGGCAAATTCAATTCCTGTCTCACTAAACCATTATCTTTTGCACTATTTAGGAAAGATGAGTTTAAGAATTTTAGTGACATCTCGATGATTGCTTTATCACTGTGAACTACATATTTTCATTCGGATGTCACGTCGGGCTCATACTTACGGGAGAGTTCCATGACTACCTACAGATCATCACAAAGCAGTGTAACTTCTTCCGACGGGCGAACAGTCATGACTACAACACGTATATTGACCAGAAATGGACACTATCACTGGTGAACGATGTAACACGGGACATACACTGTTTGTATGTTAAAAACAATATAATCATTATATTAATTGTAATTTTAATAATTTTTTACTTTTTTTTGGCACATTTGATACTCGCTTTTAAGTGAGGTATATATATAAACTTTTGTACTATTCTGAAGTATCAAATATATAATTATGACAATTATATTATTTATAACATTACTAATTAGAGATAAAATTTTCATTTATTCAGAAATATCTGCTACACAAATTATTTTCAAATAACTGAAATAAATAGTCAACCAGCTTCCCAGCAGTAACTTCCTCAAAGCAGCATAGTGGGGAACCAAAATCGTTTTCTTTCGTAATCTGATTTGGAAAGCTGAAACAAACGCTCTTAATTTCATGAAAATGGCTTCACGCAAGTCTGCGGAAGGAACCAGTCGACGCGGGTTCTGATTTGGGTTTTCTTCGCCCGTAAGCAAAATTTATACTTTCTATCGAAGCTCTTAATTTTCTCATCCTCTCATCTACCAATTTAATAGTTTTAGTTCTCCTCCCGTCCTAATAATCCAGGAAGAGGATTATTTGGATTCGTCTCCGGGTAGAAGAATCAGACCTATTCATTAAGCTCCCTCTGTTTTTGCTCGAAGGCCTCAGGATTTAAAGGGGTCGATGGGGGTGAATCAATCCAAGGAAGAACTGCTCTACCAGCAGGTTAATTTTGGGAACATCGAGGGCGTCAAGGCTCTTCACCGCGAAGGAGCAAGACTGGAGGTTAGTGCTGCCCTAGCTGGAAGCAATAGGTTTATTTGATTTTGAGATTTTTCATTTCGTTTATATGATTGCAATGGTCTGACTTGGTTGTGGTTTTTCTAGTTTATTGATAAGGAAGGGAAGACCCCATTGATTCTTGCTTGCATGCGATCCGATCTTCTCCCTGTTGCGAAAGCTCTAATTGAAATGGGTGCGAATGTGAACGCTTATCGACCTGGTAGGAAGCTTGGATTCCTTCTAGCTTTTATAGTTCATTTGTAATGCTAATCTGATTCGATTATGGACAATCTATTCTTCTGATTGATAAATTATGCTATTATTTTTGCTCAATTCATAGTTTTTGATTGAGGGACTGGATTAGAGATTTTAGCTCATAGGAAGATGTAATGCTTCTTTATGGTACTGTAGGAAGGCATGCGGGAACTCCTTTGCATCATGCTGCGAAAAGAGGCCTTGAGAGCACTGTCATTCTACTTCTTTCTCATGGAGGTACATCTGCTTGAACCATTTTCATGTAAAACCTTTCTAATCCTTATTTTTAGGTGTATTTACTTCTTACCTATGCATGAAAAATTGCATTTTGCTTTTTAAAAGTTAAAATAGTGGTATTTTTTATGTGACATGAAAGACTTGGGTGTCATAGATTTAAAAAGTAAAATTTAGATGTTAGATATGTAAAGACTTGTGGTATGTATGTAAATGCCTCTTCTTTTTTATTAGTTATGTTAATGCCATATATTTCTGCTAAAGGCTAGTGTATATGAAACTAATCTTTTGATATTTCAGCAAATCCTTTAGTGATGAATGATGATTGTGAAACCCCTCTTGAATTAGCCAGAACAAAAGGGCATACCAATGTTGTTCGTGCTATTGAGGTATTGTTAAAAGTTTAAGTTAGCTAAAATTGTGTTTCATTTTTCTCCCTATGTTTTTGTATAAATTTCAAATTTTGCCTTGCAATACCTTTTAATTGCAGAATCGTATCTGTTTATTTGCGGGTTGGCTTAGGGAGATTAATGGCCCAAGCATTTTTGAAGCATTTGTACCACAATGGGTATCAAAGAAAATGTTTGTGCTGTTTTTTTCCTTAGATGTTCTGCTAATATTCTTAAGAACTTCTGCAGCATTGTGTATGCTTGCAATGTTTCTCACTAAATAGTTATATATTTAACAGTTGGGCTGTTGTTTTACCTTGCGATTCTCGTAATCCTACAAATCCTAAGAAGTTTGAGCTGGCTATATATCCCGTTCCGCAGGTAATATCAAAGAATAATATGTCTACTTTTTTGCCTATTGCCATTTTTGTAACAGGAATTTATGGAATTTGCATTGAGGTTCATCAAGTTGAGTTACCTTTGCATCGAGTTTCTGTGTTGCGACTGTAACTATGTTCCTGTTATACACAAACACACACACACTCGTATGTTTGTATGTACATACAAATACATATGTCTACATATCTACACATACATATGTATATGTATATATGTATATATATTTATAGATATGTATTGACATGTATATATAGATATACAGATACATTGTTATGATTTGACAGCATTTTCTATCCAATCTTATGTAGCATATAGTATATGCCTAGTATCAATTCACTTAGAGGGTCTTGTACAATAAAAGACCAAATCGAATGTATTGGAAATTCTCACACGTGCCATCTTGATTTTGCAGTAATGAGTGCGAACGGGAAAATTTTAAAAATTATTGTAAGAAATAATGCGTTTTTTTTTTTACAATAAGGAACTTTATTCTGTTGTTTGTTCTTATTTTATTGCAACATGTTACCTGAGAATGATACTAGAGTAGGGAAGATATTGTTTCTGAGCAAGACAATTTTTTATGTCAAAAAAATTTTAGAGAAATCCTTCTCGAAGGTGACTTCTTCCTTGATCATTTTTGGTCTCTTTTTGATTTATTGTTCTTACTTTCTTGTTTTAAACTTCTCCTTGATTGTTTCCTTGAAATACTGATGCTGTCTCTCTTCTTCTTGAATTTCATTCTTCCCTTTCCTTCCTAGATGGCACAGTGAGGTTTATTCAGAGGGAGAGGAGGGGTGTTTTAAGAGAAGTGGCAGGGGTGGGAGGGGTGCGGAGGGAGGGAGTGAGGGAGTGAGGGAGTGAGGGAGGGATGGACCTAGTTTCCATTGTGATGAACGCGAGCTGCTTCTTTATAAACATGAAGAAATCTAATGAAATTTCAATAATAAGTTATCATAGAACTAATATAGAAAATATAATGAAAATTCAATAATAACTTAACATAGAACTAATATAGCTTATTTGATAACCACTTATTGTTATCTAATCCTTTATTACATCAATACAGCTTTGTATCATTCTAAAACTTCTTCTTGTGGTTTTGACTTTTGACTAATATAGCTTATTTGGTAACTACTTATTCTTTGGCTGGTTGGGTAAGTTAAGAGAAATGTGGATAATCAAATTTATACCTTTCTTGGTTTATGCAATATCTTTCTCTCCTCTAAAAAGTTGGTGGTGGTTTTGACTAATTCAAAATCGTCGCCCTTGCCTTGGACCCCCTCTTCATGCCTTTGGAATGTTCTTCATGTGTCCTTGAGGTTCTTCCATTTCTTCTAGAAAATTCCTCCTCGTCTTTTGGAAGGTAGAAGCTTGTTTCCCACTTATGTTTTGAATGTTCTAGAAGTCGTCTTTAATTTTTCCTTGAATTTTGTATTTGAAGTTGATGTGATTAACCTGAAGGCTACACTAATATTGGTGCATCCTTTTCAATTCATTTATTTGGCTTGGTTGGTTTCTTAATCAAACTTGAATTTCTTGGAAGCGTTTGCTAGAGCTTTCTATCATTATTATCTTCGTAAGTAACTTTATCCTGGTACAAAAAAAAAAAAAACATTTATCCCGGTCTTGTTTATGTATTAATCTTTTCCATTGATGTTTCTAAGTATTGCATGAGGCGTTAATGTGTCAATTTTTTATGCATAATTTCCATCCATGCTGCCTTCGCTCGACCCACTTTCCTTCTTAGTCCAAAAACATTATATTTATATATTTGTATTATTGGCGCTTTCTCTACTTTATACATATCCAAATGGTTTAAGCTTATAATCTAAACGACGAAGTGTTGTATATCAAATTGAACATTAAGGGAAAAGATTCTACAAAAATCCCTATGAAAAAGAAAAGTTTTGACCATTTAATTTAAATTTTAAGCTAATATTTAATCACGACTATAATTTTAGCTTTAAATTGAAAATAATTTCTAGCTAATATTTCTTATAACAAGCAAAATATTGACCATCCTTTTCAAATTCTAGCTTTTAATTAATCTATTAATTACAATATTATGTTCAGTTTTGAATTTTAAGACAAATGTTAGCAAAAACAAAACAATAATTGTTTTAAGCAGAGAGAGAAGACAAGTGCTGAAAAAGAGAGACAGAGAGTGAGGGAGAAAATGGGAAACAAAATGCTTTAAAGCAGTGGGTTTTATTCTTTTGACAGCCAAAAAATGCTGGACATGTCAACACATCTACTTCCCAGATTTTGTTTAGTTGGAATGAGCTATTTATTGAAGCACTTAAATTGGAAATAGTTGTTCACACCACCAGTCATTTGATTGAGTTTTATTTCCCATTATCTTTAAGGTTAAGTTCTGAGGCTTGAATCAAATATAAAGGACACAATTAGAAATTATAAATATGATTTTAGTTTATTATTATTTTTCTTTTGGGAATTTTACATACATAGCACAAAATTCTTATGTATTTACATATCTAAGACTCAGTCTGAAATTTACACTTATAACATCTTGGCGTCACAAATGTATATATGAAAATGTGTGTTGCACTTTTAAAATGTAGTGTTGGCCGTATTTTTTATGTGATTTTAAAATTTTAAGTGGCATGCATATAAATATGAATTTTTAGGTGCTAGATATGTAAATATATAAGAATTGTGTGGTATGTATGTAAATGCCCCTTTTTTTCATATTAAGAAATTGAAGAGGTTGAGGGGGGCACATGTCCTCATATCAGGTCTGATAAACTTTTCTGCTTGAATAACTAAATTATCAATTTAAGATCTTGTTTATGTTGTTACAAAGGTTAAGTCTCTATCCTATAAAAGCTGCCAATTTAAGATCAATGACTAATTACAGGTTTCGCAACCTCGGACTATAATAGCGCTTTGGAAAGCTCAGATAGAGGAGCCAAAATTTAATCATCCAGATCCTGCATTGATTATTGCAGACACTGCTAAAAGTAAGTCCTTAATCAAAATTCTGTAATATCATATAATTTACGAATTTTTTCATTCAATCTGTTAAAGAGTTTTTCAAATCTAGAAAAGCTGAATAATGCTCTTTTCTATCTCTTTGGTTTAAAAGATTTTAGATTTCTGTTGAACTTTATTGTTTAAGGAGTTAACTGAAATTTCATCTATTTCAAACTAAGATTAATATTTGCTTTGATTTTATTTTTTATACAGAAACTAGGAGTAAGTTTCTATCTGCTCTAGAAGGTGACAAGCGGCAGATTCAGTGGTTTTACAATGCTTGCAGAGGCATATATCAGGTGGCAACATTAATTTTATAATTGAATGAAAACTTACTATTGCAGACTTTCAGTATCGTATGTTTTAGGATAAATGTTAGGGGCATTTACATACATAACACACAATTCTTATGTATTTACATATCTAACACATGAACTTTAATAGTTACGTTACATTCATAACACTCAAATCTGTTAAATCACATAAAAAATGCCACTTATACTAACTTTGAAGTGTTATATATGTAAATTAATAAGAATTGTGTGGTACGTATGTATATTTTCCTAGAAGTTAAAGTTGCTCTTCTGATTTTATATATCTTAGAATCAAATTAATTTATTTAAGCAAGCTATCCACATATTATATCATGATTGCATTCTTGTTAGAAGTTTTCATCACAGCGTGTTTCCAGGCCAGGCTTCAATAAGGATATTTTGATTGAAGTGAACAGTCATAACAAGAGTTTCTGAAGTAAACATTCGAATGATAGTAAATCTTATGATGAATGTTTCTAAGAAAATATATATGAATCTGGAATTTGGTGACTTCTTATTGGCTGTTTCATCCATCTCCCAGTTGTATTTTCCCTTCAGTTTTTAATTTAGAGTTTTTCAAATGCTTCTTCATTTATATTAATATATCTGGTAACACAAAACAAACTAGAGATTCAATGCATTGATTATCTTGCATTTAAGAAATCTGAACAAATGATTCTTTGATCTTATGTTATCTGATGTGGCTTGAGTTTGGAGTCTAGTTCTGATCAACACAAAAATTTAAGAAAGTGCACAATTGAGTAAAGTGCCAAAATAGCCCCCGATTATTTACATGGGGCCATTTTAGTCCCTGATTTTATAGAAGCGCTAAAGTAGTCCCCGAACTCTTTAAATTGAGGCTGAAATAATCCTCATGGAGTACTATTAGAGTTTATGTTCAAAACGGTCGGAGACTATTTTGACACTTCTATAAACTCTAGGACTAAAACAACCCCATGTAAATAGTCGAGGACAAACAGTCTCCTGACTGTTTAGATGGGGTCATTTTAGTCTTATAGTTTATAAAAGTGTCAAATTAGTCCTCAAACTGTTTCAATGGGGGCTAAAATAGTCCTCACTGGTGGAGTATTTCAACCCATATTAAATGAGTATGGGGATTAAATTGACACTCTTATAAATTCTAAGATTAAAATGATTCCCTTGCAAATAATCGGGGGATTATTTTGACACATTTCTCGAAATTTAAGGTTGTATTTTGGTGCTTGTATTTATGCTAATTCTTATATTGATGTTTAAATTCAAGTGAAGGTTCAATTGTAGAATCATCTTACAATGGGGTGTCCTCTTTTAGATTATCATTAACAGTGAAATTTTGGTTTTCTGTATTTTAAATCTGATCGAACTTTAAATATAGGGGAAATTAGAAGTTTTAGTATAGGTGGCATCCCTCAGGAGGACACCAGGGCCGGTGCTGGTTTGATTAGACTCAGACAATTAACAATGTCCTAAACAACATCATCATAAAGTTACATACAGTAAGCATAAGTCATTATACTTCGCTGATAATGGGGAGACTTATCAACAAATGCTTCCACATATTCATCATCATAAAGGACATTATAATAATTTATACCTTCATACTGAGGCATATTGCATTGCTTAACAAGATTCCCAATAGAAGCTTTTCTTTTCTAGATGATGTTGTTGTTCAGCCATTTGATTCATAAGTTCATTAAATTTAGCCTTAGTTTTATTAAATATCCGAGGCCATGCAAGAAATAAAGTTTTTGTTAATTATGACTTTTCAGTTGTTTTATTTAAATTTATTTTAAGATGAGTTATTCTTTTGGATATTTTTAGTTTTAAATTTGAATAGTGTTATATTTCATTTGATCCTATTTTTATAATTTTTTGTTATAAATATGACCAAGTGTCTTGTAATAAATCAGTTTAAGTGAAATGAAGTTTCTTTTGGCCTCCTCTTTGAGGATCCTTTCTTTCTTCGAAGGGTACATGCTTTATAATCCTCTCTTTCTCCTAACTTCGTCTTTTTGAGTTGTTATAAAAAATTCTTATCTTTTTCTCTACTTCTCCTGTTCTTCATTGGCATGATTATTTGCTGCTTTCTAAAACAATTGAATATCGACATTGCAACTTGTAGGAATATATATATA